TCTCTCTCTCTCTCTCTCTCTCTCTCTCTCCGCCCCCTCCCTCCTTCCCTCTCCCTCTCTCTTCTTTCTCTTTCGCTCTCCCCTCCAAATTTTTACAAATCAAAGTTTGACTGACTTATGTAAGAAAAGAGCTGTCATGTTATTCACAGTAGTGAAATGGATAATGACAAGTTTGGCTGTTTCAGGATCCTCTCAGGGATATAATGTGTTGTGATGTATGTGGGCTTCATTATAACAAGGATGACAGAAAACCAATCATTTTACCTGATTGCGGTCACACTTTTTGCAGGCGCTGTCTCAGTAAGTTACAGTAGGATTTGTGCTTTGCAATACAAGTTATTTCACATGATATTACATGCTTCGAAATGCATTGATACTGCAACATAAGGCTGACTTTCAATTCCATTGCTCAGTAAGTTCTGTTGGCTTAAGTGGCTTGAATGCTACAACCTATACCTATGTTTCCTCCTCTTATGTCCATCTCATCCTACTGTTAATCTCCCTCCTCCTCTTCCTCCCTCTTCCTCCTCCTCCGTCTTCTTCCCTCCTCCTCCTCTTCATCATCATCATCATCATATGATCATCATCATCATCCACCTCCTCTCCCTCACATTACTCCTCCTCTATTTCAGTAACAGCAAGCAGAAACATGGAACTGCGGTGCCCAACCTGCCGAAGAGGATGTAGAGTTCCTGCCGAACACCTGCCACCAAATTATACAGTACTCTCTCTTGTGGCAGAGGTAAGATTCTTGTTTGAAATAGATTTTGTCTTTACTTACATTTGTGTATATATATAGGTGTAGATAAAAGTTCATGGGATTTTAAACATGTATAAGAACATTAAGAAAATAAAAAACATGGAATAGTGAACCATAATCATTGCAACAAATGTAGAAAAGGTATGAATGAGAATTAATATCTTCACAATACACTTTTATTGTGAAAATGTGGTAATAGTGTCTGGTTAAGGAGGAAGGGTTCATAGAAAAGGACAAATGACCAAGAACTGAAAGATGGAATGCCAGTGCAGGAGTGAGAATGCAGTTTTTTTCTCCATATTCTTTCATATTAAGTGAAAAAAGTAATGGTAAGTAAACTCTCTCCGTCCCTTCCCCTCTCCTCCCTTCCCCTTCCCCTTTCCTTTCCCCTTCCTCTTCCCTTCATACATGCATGCTTATATACTTACATGTAATGCATTTCTATGTGTATGGTGTATCAGTATTAATGTTAAAAATCATCTCACAGGTAAATTCAACAGCTGCAATCAATGGAACCCCCTCGGCTACTACTAATCCATCCAGCATGAATGATGATGAACAGATGAAATATGTCCTGGATCTCTCTCGCAAGCTATATGAAGAAGAACAGGACCTCCTCCTTGCACAACAACTGCAGGAGGAAGAAAATGCCAAGGCAATGATGAAGGGGAAGAAAGGCAAAACTTCAAAATTGCATGCTTGGGAGGATGTAGACCAGGATGATGTAGATCAACCATATCCATGCAGGCAGAATCATGGGAGAGATGAAGGAGGGCAAGATGCCATGAACGCCTACTATTCTGCACGCCGTCTCATGGAGGAAGAGGATGGAGAACTCGACACAAGGGTGCCATACCATCAGCAGCATGATAGTGTCCTGGAAGATCATGAGAGCTACCGCCATGATGCAAATCCAGAACGGGGTGTCGAATTGGAAGACGAAGGATCTGGCTCAGATGAAGATGCACAATCATGGGGTGAATCTAATTCACTCAGATTATACAGGAGTGATGTGGGAAGAGAATCCCCCACTCCTGCTGAAAGCATAAATGATTTGCAAAGGGAAACTCACTCACATAGAGAATGTATGACTGATGTTGGAAGGGAATTGCAGACACCTGGAGACAGCACATATGATGTTCGAAGGGAACCTCACGCACCCAGAGAAAGTATGGACGATATTCAGAGGGAATCTCATAGGCCTGGAGAAAGCACATATGAGCAAAGGGAATCTCACGCACCCAGGGAGAGCATGGGTGATGTTCACAGGGAATCCTTTACACCTGGGGAAAACATAAGTAATGCTGGAAGGGCATCTTGCTCATCAAGGGATAGCATAAATGATGCTGAAAGAGAATCTCATACACGTGATGAAAGCTTGTCCCCAGTTTGCACACCTACAGAAAACAGAAACAACAAAGGAAGGGAAGCTGACAGCCCCAAAGACAACACTGGTGGTGCTAGAGGCACTTCATACGCAAAACACTCGTACAAGAAGCCAAAAGAGGGGTCATTGGAGTTGCCCCCAATGGAGAAAGATCTCGAGCACTATATAGACACACATTTTTATGGGAAGGATGGACGAAAAAGCAAGTCTGCCAGCTTGGACGAGGAGACCAGAAGCATGTTGGCTCGAGCTCTAGAACGGGAACAACAGGAGAGAGAAGGGAGTCACAAGAGGAAGGCACGCAGGCTATTGAAGGAACAAGAACAGATCGACTTGGCAATTGCTCTGTCACGATCAGTATGTAATAAGTTTAACGTGTTTGTGTTTGTTTAACATTATATTGCAATATCTTTATGCTTCACTATGCTTAAATTATTTGTTTTATATTGATTGTTTCCTGATATTTTCAGATCTAATATGCTCAGTGATTATGTTTACATTCATGGTCATGTCTTTGTATTTTGATATTTTGATGTATTCAATGTACTTTATGCTTATATTCATATGCTTGTGTGTATGCCTTCATTTCCCATCATTGATATTGCTTTCTCGCTCTCTTGGGAAGCACATGAAATGATTGCAAATCTTTCTCTTTTTCTTTTTTCTAGCTCCAGGACGCCAGTGGAAACGACGATTCAGACAAAGACGAAAAGGAGAAGGAAAATGAGGAATAGAGTTTACCCTGTGTTATAGATTGAGGTTGTGTCATTAGCTGCCGAAATGGAATGAGCACAAACGAATTATGTATATTTTGTGAACATGTTTTGAATAGTTTGGTTCTTTCACTCCTTAGCTTTGCTCCCCCCCCCTCTCTCTCTCCCTCCTTCCCTCTCTCTCTCTCCCTCCTTCCCTCTCTCTCTCTCCCTCCTTCCCTCTCTCTCTCTCCCTCCCTCCCCCTCTCCCTCTCCCTCTCCCTCTCCCTCTCCCTCTCCCTCTCCCTCTCCCTCTCTCTCCCACTATCGACATCTCCCTACCCCTTACCCAGCACACATCTAAATGTATTAACCTGTAGAGTATGTTTACTTGCTTCATGGCTTATTTTAAAGCATATCAAAAATAATTTGAAGGACATTTCTCATATGTCTTGCCATATTTGAAATTTGATTCAGTTTTAGCAGCATATATGAAGTGGAAATTATTTAAGTTGACGCGCCATATTCCCAGACAAGCTACACTTTGTTGTTTTATGTTTCCATCTTATTCATTTCATTTTCTTTCTTTTTTTCTTTTCTCCCTTTCTGCTAGACAGTATTATTAAATATGGACA